CATACACACACACACACACACACACACACACACACACACACACACACACACACACACACACACACACACACAACACCTCTAGGGTTGGTTAAAAGCCTGAGAAAGGAAATATGTTTAGAGCTTACATTTAAAACAAAAAAATAGTTAGCACAGTTCTTGTTTCACATTTTCAGAGCTGCTGCAGCAAAAGCACGATCATCCTGCATCTTAGTTTAGATCTAGGAACTACTGAAACTATTATTGAGATACTTTTTATTGTTTTTATTAATAGGTTGAATAAGTTTTTGAAAAAAGTAAGACTTCAGTTTAGGGACCAGTTCTAACTTATTAGCATGCATGTTATTAGCATATGTGACCCTGGACCACAAAACCCAGTCATAAGGGTCAATTATTTAAATTTGTATTTATACACCACCTCAAAGCTGAATAAATGAGCTTTCCATTGATGTATGGTTTGTTAGGATAGGACAATATTTGGCCGAGATACAACTATTTGAAAATCTGGAATCTGAGGGAGCAAAAAAATCTAAATATTGAGAAAATTGCCTTTAAAGTTGTCCAAATGAAGTTCTTATCAATGCATATTACTAATCAAAAATTAAGTTTTGATATTTTTACAATAGGAAATTTACAAAATATCTTCACGGGACATGATCTTTACTTAATATCCTAATGATTTTTGGCATAAAAGAAAAATCGATAATTTTGACCCATACAATGTATTGTTGGCTATTGCTACAAATATACCCCAGCGACTTAAGACTGCTTTTGTGCTCCAGGGTCACATATTGGCTGGCATGCTACTGATGCAATTACAAAATGCACAGTAAAAATTCAGGAAACGATGATAATAAATAAAAATTATATTGGAAAGGATTCAAAATAATCACAGTCCATTTTTCAGCCTTGTATAAGAAATGGCATGACCCATGTAAGTACATGTTGTTAGTTAATATTACAGAGTACATATTTGAGTAATTACAATGTAACAAGGACATCTAAAATAAAGTTATGCATGTACTTACTGTAGTAGCTGCAATATTTAGCTAATAACTTGGTGCTAACTCAAAGCCTAGCCAAAACCTAACAGTAACCCATGTACATGAAAGATTGCGTACGATTTACTTTGAAATTGCTGGTAAATTTCACAAATAATTAACAAGTTACACACTGAATTAAGCATGCAATTTGGAAGTAGAAAGACTGAAACCGTATTTTCTTGTAAAATGTATGTAAAATCGTTGTTTTATCTTTATTGTTTTTTTACAGTGTAGTTAGCTTATATTATGTACTCAGTACTTTGGGGCAAGTAAGTACACTGTAAGTGAACATACAGTAAAATAAAGTGCATGGAGACTCAGTATGTTAGATTGTGTCCTGTAGTCAAATCCCTGAAGAAAGGCTTGTTTATTATGATGATTTTGATTATTATGAGGAGATTTTAAATGATGGGGTGGTGAGGGGGGTGTCGGGATGTAGGTGAGAGACGGAGAGACACTCTCTGCAATTTGACAAAAGACACAATGAGCCACAACCACCAGCTGGGCATCAAAGTGACATCTCCCACCGGGCGTCCTGCTGCCATCACTCGCTATCTCTCTCTTCTGCCTTCCTTTTACTCTATCTTCTCCCTCCAGTCTGGTCATTAAAGCATGGCCGGGGATCTCACAGTCTTAAGCACAGAATTGCAATTAGCAGCAGCCCTAAATCCAGACTGTGATTTGCCTAAACCGCCTCATTCATTATGCATCTGCCTCCAGATAATTTCCATACATTTCCATACCTCAGAAATACAGTGACGGAAGATCTCGGAGGCTTTTCTAACAGGGTTTAGCTCCTCACCAAGCATTATAGTTTTCTCAGACCTTAACACTGTCATATGTTCAGGAGTCATGGTGATAATAATGATCATACATCAGCTACAAAAAGTATTTGGATGCTTAAGACTTACTCTTTGCTTTATTGGACAAAATAATATCAAACCAACTTGACATTTACTTGAAATAGTTTTGAAATGATAAAACAACAGATCTAGCAAAAGACGACATACACTGTAGTTTTTAGCTTATAGTCCAAGTGATGAACTACAGCTGTGGTTCCTCTGCTGTGTGACGTTATAGAGAACTGACTTCATATTTTCACTAATAATAACTACCCGCCGGGGTTATTAAAATTACCTAAAACTGAAACAGTTAAAAGCATTTTTGTAGCTTAAAAATTTTTACTTGACATACTAAAATAACTAAAACTATAACTAGAAATAATAATAATAATAACAGTGGACATAAAAAACAATAAAAATGACAAAAACACAACTATTAAATATACAAAAATTTAAATGAAAAAAAAAAATGTAAACAATAGTATCTCAATGATACTAAAATAAAATAAAATGCTACACACTTTGCTTTTAACATCAGGTGCACAAATAAAATTATATTCAATGGATTTGGTTGAACATCTTTCAGGGTTTTTTCCCATTGTTTATCATTTTTTATAAAACGGTTAGTTCCATTCCTCGATTCTGATTGGTCAGCAGCTGTGTTTCATTCACGATACAGCACAGCTATGACCGCTTCACCCAACGGTTCTGTGTATCACTGAGCAACACCCTTAGCAACCACCCTCAGCAACATAAACAATCTATAATATAGCATCAAAACTGTTTCATTTATTATGTATTTCGGCAGAATTAACTGTTTGTTATTTATTTAATGGAGTATGAGTGACCCCTGCTGGCGTTATGTTGCATCTTTCATCTTTAATTTTGAGACCCCGCCCTTCCCCGGTCTAATAAACGCTTCTCACGCGGAGATATGTTGATGTGTGCGTGCGTCTGTGTGGAAGCCTACAGTTTCCGAAGTGAGGAGGGAATATTGCTGAATTGATTAGTTTTCTGTTTCAGGTATGATTCTGTATGTCCATCAGTTTACACTGTAATGACGCTTGCAAACTTGCGCTGTACCGCAAATCGGTCGGTTTTAAAACTAGGGATGCTCCGATCCGCCTTTTTCGCCACCGATACCGATACCTAGGGTTCGGTATTGGCCGATACCGATCCGATACCAGTGAAGTTTTTTTCCCTCATTTAAATAAATGTAGAATTTATATATCTCTGTGTGTGGAACTGATAATCATTCTTTCACAATCTACTAGACAGATTACTTCATTATAAAGAAAAATAAAATAAACAATAAATATGAAAAAATATAGGCCTATGTATATTTATAATCTATGACAAAAATGTATCATAAACTAGGTTAGTGGATAATTCGGCAGCAAAAGTTATTCTAGAAAAATCAGTGCACAATAATTTTAGAAATCCAAACATTTAGTGAAAAAAACAATATTTTGTGGGGAACAAATAAAAGTGTTACACTAAATATGGTAAAATGTTACACATTGCTATTTGTATTATTATAAAATCCATTTATTAAAAACATTCATGAATGTATTTATATATAAGTTTATACTATAAAATTAAAATACATTTCTTTTAAATGTATAGCATATGTTTTAATAAGGCAACAACATATGTTAGATACGATAGGACAAAACAAATACAGTGCAGCACGAACTGTTTTTATAGTCTATGAGCACGAAGCGCTTACAATGTGCGCATCCGGTGTGCAGAATGATGTCGTCACAGCCTGACGCCGTGTTGCTTAAACGCATCTCAAACCCCGTTGCACACCGTTTACAGGAAACATGTCGTTCAAACCGGAAACCGTAGCAAAAAGGTGCACACCGGTTTGAGCTTGAACTTGCCCCAGGGTTTAAAGGCTGAACGAATGACTGACAGCCACAGCCGAGAAAAGAGTTTGTGTGAACTTTAATGTAAGGACTTAAATATTCATATGTAGCTCACATTAAGCTATCGTTAGTGTATTATATCTGTGCAACAGTTATTGAGCCTTTCTTTTAACAGTTTTAAATTTCAGTTACTGTGCACGTTAAAAACAATTTATAGTCTTTTCTACGCCCGTGTTTTGTTCTCACAAACACCCGGTAGCAAGTAACAAAACAACATTAAACTCCCGCAAGAAGATAAAGTCCTTTTTGCAAAGTCATAGACATGTATTTACAAATCAAGTATAATGGGAACACAGAATGAGCGCATCCCTATTTAAAACCAAAAGACTGAAAACAGACGTTTTCTCATGCTGAGAGATAAGCAGATGTTTGTGTGTGAGAAAATATAATATATGGTGTTAAAAAAATAAATGACACAGCGGATGATTAGAGTCTAGTTCAAAATATTAATAAAAACTTAGTAGTATAAAACTTGGTAGTATAAATCATAATGACCCCGAACGTTCAAATGGTAATAATTTAATAATAATAATTTATGCATTTAGCAGACACTTTTATCCAAAGCGACTTACAGTGCATT